CTGTAACAGAAACAAACCCGGGTCAGGAAACACTTTCCAGACCACCAACAGCAGCAGTAGCAATAAGCCACCAGCAACAGCAATAAACTACCACCATCGTAGCAGTAAGCTACCAGCAGTAGCAGTAAGCCACCAGCAGTAGCAGTAAGCCACCAACAGCACCAGCAGTAGTAAGCTACCAGAAACAGTGGCAGTAAGTCACCACCAGCAACAATAGCAGTAAGCCACTAGTAGCAGCAGTAAGCCACCGACAGCACCAATAGCAGTAAGCCACCAGCAGTAGCATTAAGCCACCAGTAGTAGCAATAAGCCACAAACAACACCAGTAGCAGTAAGACACCAGCAATAGCAGTAAGCCACCATCAGCATTAGTAGCAGTAAGACACTAGCAGCAGTAAGCCACCACTAGCAGCAGTAAGCCAACAGCAGAAGAAGTAGCAGTAAGCCACCAGCAGTAGCATTAAGCCACCAGTAGTAGCAATAAGCCACAAACAACACCAGTAGCAGTAAGACACCAGCAATAGCAGTAAGCCACCATCAGCATTAGTAGCAGTAAGACACTAGCAGCAGTAAGCCACCACTAGCAGCAGTAAACCATCAGCAGCAGCAGTAGTAGCAATAAGATACTAGCAGCAGTAAGCCACCAGCAGCAGCAGTAGCAGTAAGCCAGCAGCAGCAGCAGTAAGCCACAGCAGGAGCAGTAGCAGTAAGCCATCAGCAGCAGTAGTAGTAAGCCAATAACAACAGTAAGCCATTAGCACGAGCAGTAGCAGCAAGCCAAAAGCAGGAGCAGAAGTAAGCCACCAGCAACAGCAGCAGTAAGCCACTAGCAGTAGTAAGCCACTAGCAGCAGTAAGCCACTAGCAGCAGTGAGCCATCAGCAGCAGTAGTAGCAGTAAGCCATCAGCAGCAGTAGTAGCAGTAAGCCATCAGCAGCAGTAGTAGCAGTAAGCCATCAACAGGAGCAGTAGCAGTAAGCCACCAGCAGCAGCGGTAGCAGTAAACCACCAGCAGGAGCAGCAGCAGTAAGCCACCTGCAGGAGCAGCAGGAGTAAGCCACCAGCAGCAGAAGTAACAGTAAGCCACCAGCAAGAGAAGCAGCAGTAAGCCACCAGCAGGAGCAGCAGCAGTAAGCCACCAGCAGGAGCAGCAGCAGTAAGCCACCAGCAGCAGCAGCAGTAAGCCACAAGCAGGAGCAGCAGCAGTAAGTCACCAGCAGGAGCAGTAGCAGTAAGCCACCAGCAGGAGCAGCAGCAGTAAGCCACCAGCAGGAGCAGCAGCAGTAAGCCACCAGCAGCAGTAGTAGCAGTAAGCCACCAGCAAGAGCAGCAGCAGTAAGCCACCAGCAGGAGCAGCAGCAGTAAGCCACCAGCATTAGCAGCAGCAGTAAGTCACCGGCAGAAGCAGCAGCGGTAAGCCACCAGCAGTAGCAGCAGTAAGCCACCAGCAGCAGCAGTAAGCCACCAGCAGCAGCAGTAAGCCACCAGCAGCAGCAGCAGCAGCAGCAGTAAGCCACCACCAGCAGCAGCAGTAAGCCACCACCAGCAGCAGCAGTAAGCCACCAGCAGCAGCAGCAGTAAGCCACCAGCAGCAGCAGCAGTAAGTCACCAGCAGCAGCAGTAAGCCACCAGCATTAGCAGCAGCAGTAAGTCACCGGCAGAAGCAGCAGCGGTAAGCCACCAGCAGCAGCACTAAGCCACCAGCAGCAGCAGCAGTAAGCCACCAGCAGCAGCAGTAAGCCACCAGCAGCAGCAGTAAGCCACCACCAGCAGCAGCAGTAAGCCACCAGCAGCAGCAGCAGTAAGCCACCAGCAGCAGTAAGCCAGCAACAGCAGCAGCACTAGTAAGTCACCAGCAGCAGCAGCAGTAAGCCACCAGCAGCAGCAGTAAGCCACCAGCAGCAGCAGCAGTAAGCCACCAGCAGCAGCAGTAAGCCACCACCAGCAGCAGTAAGCCAGCAGCAGCAGCAGTAAGCCAGCAGCAGCAGCAGCAGTAAGCCACCAGCAGCAGCAGTAAGCCACCAGCAGCAGCAGCAGTAAGCCACCAGCAGCAGCAGTAAGCCACCACCAGCAGCAGTAAGCCACCAGCAGCAGCAGTAAGCTACCAGCAGCAGCAGTAAGCCACCAGCAGCAGCAGCAGTAAGCCACCAGCAGCAGCAGTAAGCCACCACCAGCAGCAGTAAGTCACCAGCAGCAGCAGCAGCAGCAGTAAGCCACCAGCAGCAGCAGCAGTAAGCCACCAGCAGCAGCAGTAAGCCACCAGCAGCAGCAGCAAGCCACCAGCAGCAGCAGCGGTAAGCCACCAGCAGCAGCAGCAATAAGCCACCAGCAGCAGCAGTAAGCCACCAGCAGCAGCAGCAGTAAGCCACCACCAGCAGCAGCAGCAGTAAGCCACCACCAGCAGCAGCAGCAACAGCAGCAACACACCCACTGGGAAACAACCATCAAGAAAAATGATTACATTCACAGGGAAGCGGTAATCCCTTAAGGGTCACAGCGCCTGGCACACAGGAACCAGTCGAGATCGATCACAGAGGAAGGTAGCTCCAATTCCTAGGATGAAAAGCCCTTCACCAGCATCAAGACACTCGCCATAAAGGGAGATTAAAATAATTTAGGTAAATACATAAAATATAAAATAAACATTACAGCTATATAAACAATACTGCTATGTAAATATAGCAGCTATGTAAACAACACAGTTATGTAAACAACACAGCTATGTAAACAACACAGTTATGTAAACAACACAGCTATGTAAACAACACAGCTATGTAAACAACACAGCTATGTAAACAACACAGTTATGTAAACAACACAGTTATGTAAACAACACAGCTATGTAAACAAAAACAGCTATGTAAACAACACAGCTATGTAAACAACACAGCTATGTAAACAACACAGTTATGTAAACAACACAGTTATGTAAACAACACAGCTATGTAAACAACACAGCTATGTAAACAACACAGCTATGTAAACAACACAGTTATGTAAACAACACAGCTATGTAAACAACACAGTTATGTAAACAACACAGCTATGTAAACAACACAGCTATGTAAACAACACAATTATGTAAACAACACAGCTATGTAAACAACACAGCTATGTAAACAACACAGTTATGTAAACAACACAGCTATGTAAACAACACAGCTATGTAAACACAGCTATGTTAACAAAGCAGCTAAGTAAACAAGATAGCTATGTAAACAATACAGCTATGTAAACAACACAGTTATGTAAACAACACAGCTATGTAAACAACTCAGCTATGTAAACAACACAGTTATGTAAACAACACAGCTATGTAAACAACACAGCTATGTAAACACAGCTATGTTAACAAAGCAGCTAAGTAAACAAGATAGCTATGTAAACAATACAGCTATGTAAACAACACAGCTATGTAAACAACACAGCTATGTAAACAACTCAGCTATGTAAACAACACAGCTATGTAAACAACACAGCTATGTAAACAACTCAGCTATGTAAACAACACAGCTATGTAAACAATACATCTATGTAAACAACACAGTTATGTAAATAACTCAGCTATGTAAACAATGCAGATATGTAAACAAAACTGTTATGTAAACAACACAGCTATGTAAACAACACAGCTATGTAAACAATACATCTATGTAAACAACACAGCTATGTAAACAACTCAGCTATGTAAACAATGCAGATATGTAAACAAAACAGTTATGTAAACAACACAGCTATGTAAACAACACAGCTATGTAAACAACACAGCTATGTAAACAACACAGCTATGTAAACAACACAGCTATGTAAACAACACAGCTATGTAAACAACACAGCTATGTAAACAAAACAGCTAAGTAAACAACACAGCTATGTAAACAACACAGCTATGTAAACAACACAGCTATGTAAACAAAACAGCTAAGTAAACAAAACAGCTAAGTAAACAACACAGCTATATAAACAATACAGCTATGTAAACAATACAACTATGTAAACAATACAACTATGTAAACAAAAGATGTGTAATAAAAGATGTGTCAATAATACAGGTTTGCATATTTCGAGATATTGAGGTAAATTAAGCAATATTATTTTACGTAAATTTTTAGCAAGGTTAAATTGCCAAGTTAAGATTTAATGCCCCCCCCCCCTTCCACACAAAAAAAATAGAGAAAAAAAGAAAAAGACACACCAAAGATTTGTAGAATTATACGCTTGAAGACAAATGTTCCTCTGGTGCAGTTTAACAGCCAAACAAAAGAAAAAAAACACCCAAAGTGTATTGTAAGTATCGTAAATGCGACTGTTATTGTGAATGTTTGCCAGGACGGGTCCTGGCCTGGGTCTTCTCCATGTGGTGACCTCCCACTGAGGAGTCAAGGCGAGAGTGTCCGTGTGTATCGCCAGACCAGCACCTGGCGATCCACAGATTTTATGGTGATGAAAAGCAATACTCGAAATCAGATTGTGTGGCGTGTTTTGTGGCGTCACGGTTCTCTGGGTCAGTAAGGCTCGGAAAAGGTCGACGTTCCCTCATTTACCTCTCCTGTAATAATCATTCATGATCTGTGAAAGCAGGCAAGCGGCACAGCGTGCTTGGCATCTCCGAAGTGTCTCCCTCGGGGAGAAAATACTTGTGTTGAGGACCACTTGTGTTGATAATGTAGCTGGTAATGCCAAAGATGTCGCTAGTGATGCAACAAATGTCGCTAGTGATGCTACAGCTGCAGACGAAGGAAAAAGGCTACCTTCAACACGACACCCAGGGAACACTCCAACAAAAGGTTCGTGGTCGTCCCTTGCAGCGATGTAGCCAGTATTACGTCACATACACTGGCTAGGAATAACATTCAGTTGACTACTATGGCGTCCACGGCCGTCAAAGAACTCACTTGGAAGCTACATACTAGTCACTAACCAGTCTGCACCGCCGGAGTCTGCACGATCCTGCACAGCCATTGAGAAAAAGAAATTAAACGCGGGAGGGAAAACAGGTAG